ATAGTTTAAAGGACGTTATTGTTCAAACATAACTCAAAAATTAGAAAAGATTTGTTAGCCTCACTTTACCCTCTATTAGAAGGAAAAAAGGGGTCGGCTGGGCCAGCCTTCGACCTAGAGCATCCATCTCATGTATTTTAGGTCAGAGGATACTTTGATAGACGTTATTATTCAAACATAATTCATAACTTAGTAATGACTTGTTAGCCTCATTATCCCTCAATTAGCGAACAAATTTCCCTCTTCTCTTCGAATTCTGAAAGAGTTCGGTCTGATGAATTGATTGAACACGTTTAAACTTTTATTGAGACAATCCTTTTCTTTGCATCTAATCAGTGAAGCTTTATCAGGTCATCATCAAGATGGTCATGTTTATTGTTTATATTTACCAGTGACAGCTTTATTAAAGATCATGAGTCAGTTCAAGAACTTTTTATACGATAAAAATGTAATATTCGTTTGTTGGTGTGTCATAAAGTCGTCCTCTGATTGGTCAGCGTTGACTGTCAGCCTTCCTTTCGGCGGCTTTCACAACACGTCCATATGTCTCCTACTCCTGCTGTTAGAGAGTTACAAAGTAACAAAGTATATAATATCATAAATATATTAAACATAGATATCGACAACAGACTCCTGAAGTCTTGAAGCTCTGTTACCACCGCCCCTGGTGCAATCCCGTCGGGTTAAAGAAAGAGAACAGGGACTTCCAGTCGTCTTATTTTTCGTAAATATTACAGGGGGGCCAAAAGTCAGTATCCATACGATAAATTATGGAAGTAACTGTCGTTTCAACTACTAGAAAAAGATAAATAAAATCACCAAGAAGTGGGTTAATGAATAACCTGAATCGTAGTATTCACTGTACCCCGGTATAGTAGTTATTCCCGGAAATATCTTTAGCTTCTTTGCACTCTTCTGGTAAATTGGTGTAACTGTAATTAATAAATAATTAATAAGTTATAATTGATATTTTATAAACAGGATTAAACATTCTTTCTGAAAGCACCTAAGCACGTACACGTATCAATAATTAAATTAATAATATTATTTATAGCATTTATTATCGTTCGTAAATCGGAGTCAATGATTACTTAGGAGAGCAGCCTTTGTAAATTAACTACATATTTGTAGTAGATCCTTGATTAGATCATTATATTATTATAATTATATTCGTGCCATTTGTATTACTCATTTTGTCAAAAATTAATAATAAAGTAATAACTTTTCGCTTTTCCGTTACAACACTTCCAATTTGTTTTAACACACGTTTTTGGTATTTTTGAATACCTATCGTCTATTTAGTACAGTTCTGCTACGGGTATCGGCCTTACAAAATGACAGGCCTCACAAAATGACAGTCCACATAGACCATGCTGTAGCTTAGGTTCCCTATACATTGAACCCTATTCCTTTTACTGTATGAAAGAAAAAGCATTAATTAACACTTCCCAAGGAATGATAATGACATAGAATCTATATTTCTTACTTAAATATGGACGTTTTTGCTGTTCAGTCATTGCCCCGCCTAACTGTTACCCAGAATGGAGATCAAAGTTTAGAATTTAACCCCAGGAAACCAGGTACTACCACGACTTATGTCAATCAAAGACTACTCTGGTCAAATTAAAAAACTGATTTAGTGACTTTGGTAGAAAAAATGACAAAAAAATGACCTAGCCTCACAAAATGACAGTGTTATGCCTCACAAAATGACAGTTTTATTTTATGATACAAAGATGGCATATTTATATTGGATGCCCCTTGCCTTATTATTGGTATTCTAAAACCCAGTAAGCTTATGATGAACCTAAATGTGTTTGTTTGATCATCAATTTTGATCAAAATGCCTCACAAAATGACACCGAAAAGCCTTACAAAATGACAATGTTTCAGATTGAATTACTTTCATCATCTAAAATGGATCAGAAACAGTCAATAAAAGAAGGAGTTAAAAATAATCATAATCTGACAGTTAACAATCAAGTAGCATTACAAAAGTGCAGCTCTGATATCAAAACTTTGATTTCAAAATCTTTGATTTCAAACTCTGATTTCAAAACTCAACGAAATAAAGCTTCTATTTTGTGAAAGCAGAGAGTAATAACAACTCCTAAAACATGTCAAACGTTAACTAAACACTGAAAAAGGCATAGAAGATATCAAATATAACCAAATACTGTGTTCAAGTATGAAAACAAAAAATGATTTTTACGCCTCACAAAATGACATTTTTGTATAAAAAAAGTATAAAAAATGTTCCTTTTTTAATATATTCTGGTAAAAACAGAACTGGTATAATATAAACAACATATATATCTAACAGTAAGACACGTGAAAGAATAATGAAACTTTTTCCCAAATCGGATTTGGAGTGATGCCGTTTTGGGTTGTCATTTTGTAAGGCACTATCTCACGCGAAGTTGCCCAACTTTTTTTACCCATCCTTTTTCCTGTAAAAGCTATTCTAATCTTCAATCTATTATATTTATCTAACTGTCCTAGGTGAAATCAAATTTCTATAGGCTGCTGTTAAAAAATGACAGCCGTGACGAAATTGTCATTTTGTAAGGCATGTTTTTTTGGAAGATTTCAAAGATGACAATTTTTATCGCAAAATTTACGGTTTTTCAATCAAATCAACCCCTGGGAAGAAAAATATACTTGTTGAACTACCTATCTGGATAATAAAACATGAACAAAACTCATTTTTGTGCATTTCAGAGCCATCTCCTTTTTCGTGTCATTTTGTAAGGCCGATACCCGTACTTTTTAATTTTCATTTCTCAATATTTTTCGACAATATTTATTTGATATTTCCTTACGACTCCATGATGTTGGTAAAACTTGGACTTAAATTTGAAACTTAAAATATTAGGATGAAATGGTTGGTGCTTGCAATTTGTTCAGTCCTATTTCTCACTCCTGAGGCTGAAGTGTGGATGCCCATAAAACTGGGAACTACTGATACATTTGAGTTGGACCCCAAGTTCATGACCGTGGAATTCAGGATTATACCCAAGAAGGCACTGGCTAGCCTGAATATAAACCTAATGACTAGGTTTTTTGATGAATCCGACAAAATGATAGCCATGACTTCCTTTCGGTTCCAGATGAAAGGCAAAAAGGTCATCAAAAACTTCCTTAAAATTAGTACTAGAAAGGGGCATTCTTCTTACGATCATTGCTATGATAAGAAGACGCTAAATGGAGAAGTCCCTGATACTTTACTTCTAGACCTAGCTGATCCGAGCGTATACCTCATCAACAACTCAACTTCACCAACATTTGCTGAACAAAAGTATTGCGACCATTGGAGGAAAATGCTCGAAATTGAAAGAATTACGACCGCAGAGATTGCTCTCTTTGACACCAATAAGAAAGCCTCCGGACAAATGAATATTGAATACAGAATGATAAGTAAATATATTGCGACAACTGTGCCACCGACAACAACTGTCCCGCTGACGACAACTGTCCCGCCGACGACAACACCAGAAGACACTTCCTCGGCTACACCTACTTGGGTTAATAATCTTGTTATTGAAGCAACAGAGGCACCTGCTGCTAGCACCGGAGAGATTTGCAGTGTCTACCCCAATGGTGTTATTGACACTTTTGACAAGAAATCTGAACACTACGATCTCAAGTGCTATCACGTGCTAGCCGCTAGTTTGGGCTCTCCCTCTTGGTTTATCTATGGGGCATTCGATCAATCTGACGGTAAAGTATCCTGCGGAGCCGTAACAGTATTTGTAGCGTCTGGGGCTCTCGAAGTACAACGGGGATGGCTGATAAACTACAGAGGACAGAAGATAAAATATATGGAAGGCAAGGAAGTGAGTATAGCAGATACGGGCTGTGTGGTACTCCTTAAAAATCTTCATGTGACAGTGGACTGCAGGCCTGGAGGTTTCCCGTTTGTTATCCACTATGACGGATACATGCTGGCTCACATTGAACTGTTCGAACGATCAGAACTTAATGTTGGGCTCTGTTTTGCGAACAGCCGAGGTAGACGATTAAACTGGCAGATCGGAAATCAATACAGGAGAAATCAGGACTGCGCCATTTCTCCAGTCATCCCAGAATGTGAAGAAGCCGCCCCTCAGTGTGCTGAATTTGAAATCTACGGTGATGGCTCTCTCGCTAGAGCCTGCCGAGAACTCACTTGTGGACAAACTCAACCTACCTCCGAACAAATGTGCTCTCTATCATTGGCTAAAAAGAAGAAATGCAGACTCCTACGTCTGGATGCTAAAGGCGCAGCCACTGGATGTCCACAGGATGTCTGTCTGAGGAAATACTTTGTTTTAAGTACTGGATGTCCTCAAGATCCCTTCTTCACAGGGTGTCCCGTCGAGCATTATCTTAATGGTGGTCCCTGATTTTTACACTTTTTGCACCTTTGCTTATTAGACTATAATATCCGGTAAATATATCCGGTATATACTATATAGGTCGTTTACGTCATTTTATGTTAAAGTTACAATAGCTCAATCATTTGGAAACTCCCCCCCCCTCCCCCTCGGCTGATTACGTAATTTGTGAACGGTATGTAGAATACATGACGTTCAGAAAAGACAAAATCTGATATCTTACAGAAAATTGTAATAATATATATATAGTATGTCGATAATTTTAATGTTATTTTATATTTAATGAATGTCAGACCTCAATTGACAAAAATAATGTTTCGAAATGTACATCTTTATTGTTACCAATTCTTCCAATGTCTAGAAGACAATTTTTCTCTAATATTGTCTATTCTTTTGTGGTTTTGAACAATATTGAACTGTAGGATTGAAATTTCTTCCAGCAGTAGAAAATTATCGTAAATGTAAATTTTAGAAACAATCTCAATGTAAATTTAATGTCAATGTAAATTATATGTAATGAGGACAACAAGTCTTCAAACTCTTCCATCCAAGGTTCCTGACAAACCTTAAATAAATGCCACACAACCTCTGAAATTCTAAATTTCTAAACATTCCCCATCTCAGGGCGATTTAGCGAAGAAGAAGATATTCCCCTCCCTCTGCAACCTGTTCGAAAAGAAGATCCTGCCCCCAACCTGTCAGATCATAGGATATGCCCGGTCCTCCCTCACTACCAAACAACTTGCTGATAAATCTAACCCCTTCATGAAGGTATGACATTTCACAATAGTGCTATACATTATACATTATACATTTCACAATAGTGCTATACATTATACTATTATACATTATACCTTTATACACTATACATTATACATTATACAAGTTTATATAGTTTTAATACTTTCAACATTTTTAATACTTTCAACATATTATTATATATAACAAATAACTTGTGTACTATTTGTAAAATGTCGTACCTTTATGAAGGTACAACATTTCACAATAATACACACATATTATGAGCGAGTGTTTGAAGTTGGTGTGTTTGAAAGTTTGAAGCGTGTTAAGAAACTTGAAAAGAAATGATAACACTTATGAGTTGTGGTGTGTACAGTTATAAGTTATATTATATTATTTGTATCATGTAATTTTAGTGTGGTGGTCGATTTTATAATGTAATGCACAAATAATTATCTACCGAGCCACGCCTTCTTATCAAGTCGTGGTCACTAAATCGAACAGTTTGAATGCATGTAGTAAGCTGTTAAATCTGACTGTCAGTTTGTAGCTAAATATTAGGATAAACTTTAGCTGAAAATTCGTATTTTTATACCATAAAGAAAAGTGCAACACTGGTAACCCTGTTAACACTGGTAACCCTGTTAACCCTGGTAACCCTGGTAACCCTGGTAACCTTGGTAACCCTGGTAACCCTGGTAACCCTGGTAACCTTGGTAACCCTGTTAACCTTGGTAACCTTGGTAACCCTGGTAACCCTGGTAACCCTGGTAACCTTGGTAACCCTGGTAACCCTGTTAACCCTGGTAACCCTGGTAACCCTGGTAACCTTGGTAACCTTGGTAACCTTGGTAACCCTGGTAACCTTGGTAACCCTGGTAACTCTGGTAACCCTGGTAACCCTGGTAACCTTGGTAACCCTGGTAACCCTGGTAACCCTGGTAACCCTGGTAACCTTGGTAACCCTGGTAACCTTGGTAACCTTGGTAACCCTGGTAACCTTGGTAACCCTGGTAACCCTGGTAACCCTGGTAACCTTGGTAACCCTGGTAACCTTGGTAACCTTGGTAACCCTGGTAACCTTGGTAACCCTGGTAACTACTACAGGCGAAGAACAAGGACGTGTTATCGTCTTTCTGGAGTCACGTGAGCTACGTAAGTGGAACGTACGACACTCCTGACGGCTTCATCAAGCTGAACGAGAAGATAGAGGAGTTGGAGAAGGCACATGGTAGTGAGAAAAGGTGAGTTATTATTGCCAACCCCCCTGCCCCCTGGGCCCTGCTCCTCCCCCCCCCCCCCCCCCCCCCCCCCCCCCCCCGGCCACAGGTGAGTTATTGCCAACTGTTTACGTTGTTGGCTGATTTTTCAAATAGTGCAATTTCACCATCTGTTCATAGGAATGGCTTTATTTATTGTCATGGCAACCACTTATATTTAGTCAACCAGCTTCAATTGAAAACACTGTAATTCAAAATATGATAATAATATAACAATCACAACAATATTCTAGTTACAATTGTATGATTTATATCTTCGCCTTGTCACGTGTTAATAATGATCACGTGTTTACAATGACCGCACGTGGGCACTATCAGCATGTGTTGCACGTGCGCTGACAGAACAATGTAGCTATCTCCTCGTCGTCACAGGGGTTGTAGTCTACACACTCCGGCCACTCGTCCACACAGTCGGGGTCTGGGGGGAGGCGATCATTGTAATAGGAATAAGAACGCTGCCATGTCGGGGCAAACCCATGTTTTTATATAGAGCCAGCCCCATCCTTTTTTGTTTACCCATAAAAATACAAGTTTAATCAAGGTAGAGGATGATAATTTATTGTAAAATACACAATATATAATCCCAGCTTGAAGCTGTTAAACTATTGAACTATAACCGTGTTACAATAACATACACAATGAGCATCACTTAACTTTCTTTTGGTAAGAATAAAATATATAATTAAAATTATTGCGTACCTTGAGTAGGCTCAGGGGCGGGTTTGGGAGTAGGTTTAGGAGTAGGTTTAGGATCCGGTTTAGGAGTAGGTTTAGGATCAGGTTTAGGAGTTGGTTTACACTTTACATTATGCGGCCAGTCACATATCTGTCGGAAAAAGTATTAAAGTATTTACTCTGACGTCATAACGCGGTTATCAAGTTAACGACAGAATTATTGTAAGACTAATTTAGGGAAACTCTCCAGAAGACGAATGATATAAAGGATATAAGCATTTAGGGCCTTGATATAAAGGATAATTATAATTATAAGCATTTAGATCCTTGTTGACCAGGTACGGAAATTTTTTTTCAGAACGACCGGTGCGGCCGTCATTCCCAAATCTGGCGTACGCGTAGTTATTAACTATAACATAATGCAACACTACAGAAGTCAGAGAGTTTCATAATTTATAAGGTTTCAATACTCAGTACCCACCATATTTTTGGGGTTGTAAAGTGTGCCCGGAGAACAGGTTTTGTGCCAAACTTGTCCATATAAACAAGTGTAGAACTTTGCACAGTTTGCTGGGTCCTTGAACGTTCCTGAAATATGTGATGTTGCATATTTTGCAAGATAATGACCTTTTGACTTCTGGAGAATTCTGTGCGAAACATTTTCACAGTTGGAATTTTAAATTATAAGAATCCTATGCACCTTGACTGGAATCTTTGTAGTAATATTGTAAGGACGGCACGATATCTGCACTGTCAGGTACTGGAAAGTCTGCAAATTACTCAAGAAGCCAGATGTGTTCTTTGAGAAAATAGCGACGTCAAAACACGTGACATGACGTCATTACACGTGACATGACGTCATTACACGTGTTATGACGTCACGCCACAAATTACTCAAGAAGCCGGATGTGTTCTTTGAGAAAATAGCAACGTCTCTCAGACAAATTTTCTGCAGAAACTTTTTTTTGTGATTTACAAAAATTCGATTTATTGGTTGAATGACTAATGAAATTGTCGGTGATAAAGCTGACATTATTATTCAGATGGCTTCTCATTTCATGGTTGAATGATTTGGAAGATAACACATTCCCACAATATGATTATATTTGATATGAATATTGAATATTATCGGTATGTCATATGATCACGTCCCCACCGTCTGACCTCCCTCATAACAATTATTTTAAAGTTGGAGATGTGATATTAACAGTGTCGTTCCCGTTTAGCTGTTTCCCTGCTTATAGTAAACAACTCACATTGGGAATCCTAGAATAGTCAGTAAAAGGCAACATTCCAAGTAGTTGACGTACACGTACCGTTACTAGGTTACTAATACTAGTTACTAAGTTACGTACCGTCTCGAGGGCATGTGAAGGCAGTGCTCAATGGGAGAAGGAACGTCAGAAGAAGATAAACGGTTAACATGACTGCCGGTAGAAAAGTGAAAAGTGACCAATAGTAGTAGACTAAGTATGTCTATTGGGGCTAACGTTGTGAGACTGAAAAGTGACCAGTAGACAGTGTGTCAATTGGGGGGCTTGCGTTGTTAGTCACCAGCTGGGGAACTAAACCTTTCAACTGTTGATTTGTTTTATTACAACCATTACAAAGAGGTGTTTTTACTTTGATGTATGTTGCCATGTGATTGGTTAAACCCATTATATACCTCATCATGATTGGTTCAGAGGGGTCACGTGATCAGACTTCCACTGTAATGACAGGGGAAAACGCCCTCTTGGACAACCGTACTAATTCCCAGTCTATTCTGAGCTAGTTAGTTCTGCACTGGTTCAATATGACGTGTGGTTTGCAGTGAGCTGTTATTACATGAAAGCAGTTGAGGGGTTTGTAATTGGAATACAAAATTCTTTCTTTTAACTTAACTTTTCTTAGAACTGCAAAACAAAGTTAAACTACAACAAGTTCGGAACTACAGTAAGTCTAATGTAGGCCAGATAATCCATCTATCTTCAGTAACATAGACAAAATATGTCAAATAGCTGTGTCTCAGTAATCAGTTAAAAGTTAAAACTATCAGCTAAAAGTTAAAACTATAAAGAAACTCATTGTCCACAGTGTCCAGGTTGTTTACCTTACATTATGGGGTGCCGGGTGACTCTGGCACAAAACACTGACCATGGTTTCGAACTGGCTTTATAGGATATAGAGGAATTTAATTCTCCCTTTGAATCAATCAAGCTAGATGATTTGTTGTAAATACTGAGATCAAACTATCAATTTACAGGCTATCGTCAAACATGTTGCAAGGCGTCATCTTCAGTGACATAAGCCTAAAAATTGTAAAAAGTTAGTAAAACCCAAAATTCCTTTAAAAATCTGAACACTCCTAAAACGGTTATATAATAATTAAAATTAAGAGGTTAGGAGTAACGGAAGGCCAAAAGGATTTATAGTGTTTATTCCCAAAGGTTTTAAGGTCTTGAGTTGTTGAATATATTTATGTTCACGAACTTCTAAAGTTTTAGGACTAGAATTATCAATAATTGAAACATTAAAAATTTTGTTAAAATCCATTTATAGGATACAAATTGCTTGAAAAAAACATTTTCTGTCCGGATATCTCTATGTTACTATTAATGAATGTACTCCAGTTAAGCACTCTGCAGTGCTGTGGTTACCCAAACAATTGTTTCTGAAACTAATTAATTAATTATTTAATTAATTAATTAATTAATTAATTAATTAATTAATTAATTAATTAATTAATTAATTAAAAACTAACATGCTTCTCCCCAGGTTCCGATTATTCTATCTGGCTCTGCCACCCTCCGTCTTTATCCCTGTCTGCACCCAACTGAAACACAACTGCTGGCTCGCGTCCAAGTTAGTGACACTCTCTTTGATTTTGTGTTTGGAAAATAATAATTCTAATTTGAGTTGTTAATATAAACAATTACACCTTAGTCTCATTAATTGGTATGGTAATTAGTTGGTAAATAAGTAGACTCTCATGCCGGGAGGAGGTAACTATGGTAACTAGTAGTGTAACTATGGTAACTAGGGAGGCGGTAAGCTCAAGACAGTGAGATTTATTTAAACAGCTGGAGGCTGGTTAGTTAATGGCTCTGTCCGCAGTCCGCACTAGTATTTAAACAAATTAGATATCTAGATAAACATCCGTAATATCATGAACAGTGTTTGCGGTTGTTTTTGTTCAAAAGGTGCCTTATAAGCCGGAAATGTCTAACTTGTGAAACTATAATTATTTGGTTACAAGCGCCGGTATGCGCCGTTGGTAATTAGATATATGACTTTGTAAATAGCGTAAACACTGCCATTATAAATCTTAAACTACTATTTTCTGACGAGAGTTGTCTTGTTAAAATACACACTGTTAGTCGTATTATCTTCAGAAATGTTCTGCTGGAAGGCATAAATAGAAAATGTGAACTAATCACGGAAAATATGAGATATTTAGAAATAGTTTGCTCAGTATGTCTTACTACTCCATTTTGTGTGGATAAAATGGACACGTGACAGAAAGACAAAACTTATTATGAAACTCCTACAAACTCAACCAAATGGTTCTTTGGAAAAAAATTTGTGCAGAAATATTTCTTGACTCAAAAATTGTTCTAATAGCTTCGTCTGTATACGTCCAGGTAATTGTGAGCTATTTAACTTAAGAATTACATTCTTAGACTTACTATTTCTAGGAACAAGTCACTCGGGAAATTCACTAACTTATTGTAAGCTTGGAATTTGTGTTTATAATGACGTATGTTATGTTTTCGCTTATTATATGAAATGTGGAGTGGCAGTTTATATATTACTATTAGCTTTAAACAGTTTTAAGACTGTTTAAAAAAACTTTTTAAGCTAGAAGTTTGGAGTGTTGAATGTTTTGGTTGCTGTCTATGTTTAACCTTTTAACGAAGGGGCCTCTACTTCAATATTCAAGCTGTTTTAAACATATCTTAAACATATTTTTATATAAAACAAGTTTTATTTATTAGTTAATATTGTTTAAACCTACAAGATCAGGAGATGCCAAACTGTTTTAGATTGAATTTTAGACTTAACATTCTTGAGATCATACCTTGCTGAGTTTATATCGAGGTGAAACGATAATTGTCAATTTATAATTGTTCTACCCCAGCAATTCCGAATGCAGAGTCATCGTTGAGAAACCATTTGGGAGGGACTTGGACACATCAAACGAACTGTCTCAAGCTATTACTGCCTTATTCAAGTATGATAATTTTGCACCCTTGTTTCCTATTGATCGGCAAATGGTTGCTGAACTTCTCAAACTTTGCTTAGACAGCTATTAAATTTGACTGTTTTTAATTGACTCAATTCAATTAATTTGGAATATCTATATATGAAAATACTTTGAATAACTAAAGACTTCTGTTTCAGTGAAATGGAAATCTACCGAATTGACCACTACCTTGGAAAGGAGATGGTGCTAAATCTCATGATTCTGAGGTTCGCATATTAGCAACGTTGTGCAATGTTATTTTTAGTTTTTACACGATGTGGCAAACATAGCGGAGTGGCGACGACAAGCTGCTTGCGGATGTTATTCTTCTATCAGTCCACTAAACTGCTTTAATTTTAGTGTGCAAGAAATAATATTATGTTATTTCATGCTTGTTGGAAGGTCTTTGTATAATACTTGCATCGTACGTTTTGTACAATTGAATTATTTTCAGATTTGGAAATGAGCTATTCCGTTCTGTTTGGAATCGTGAACGTATTGCATGCGTGGTTATAACATTTAAAGAACCTTTCGGGACATATGGTAGAGGTGGATACTTTGATACCAACGGAATTGTCAGGTTTGTCGTAAACTTTCTTCGAAGGAAATTGCACTTCCTTGTTTCGAGAGTTATCATGGATGACTAGTAAGACTACGGCGTGGTTCTGGGGACATATTCCCATATTTTTGTTTACCTTGCGCGCGGTCGCCAAACGACATTAAAGCTATTATCATGAGACCGGGATTCCCGCGCACGACAGTTCTCATCACATGGCGTGTGGAATTGTTGATATCACATTGTGCTCTATAAATTGTATATGAATGGCTTTCGTCCTACATGTCATTACTCATTAGTCTCGGTGTACATTTCCCTCAATAACATTAATTTTCCAGGGATGTGATGCAGAATCACCTGCTGCAGATCCTATGTTTGGTTGCTATGGAGCGACCTGTCAGTGTTGATGCTTCTGATATCAGGGACGAGAAGGTAAACTTATTGGAACATTGACAATAATAAAATAAGTGTCAGCTATCAACTCGTTAACGAATCGATCATAAAAATTAAAATTGATTCCAATTTTTTTTATTGAAATCTTTCAAATCGATCAATTACATACACATTTACACAATGAATGAACAACATTAAATTTTCTAAAAAGTATAAGACTCCGATAAAATCAGATTTTCTAGGACAAAATGTATGTAATCAAAGGACCTGAGGGTCACCAAAACACAGATGTTGAGAGCAAAATGCACCTCCTGCACAAGTATGGGCCCACGAAAATCTTAAATTTTAAATAGAATTTCAAATAGAATCACACAAAAATATCAAAAGCAATCAAATCATATAATAAAGTGAAATCCATGATGTGATGATATGCACTAAAATGAGAAATGAGAAATACAGACAACAGGGATTTAAGCTTTTATGAACATATTGTTAGCTTTAGGTAGACTGCCTCACATCTCTGTCTCGAGGGAATAATGTAGATCATAATCAAAGTCCTCCGGCAGAATTTTATCCCACATGTAGGAGGTCAATTTGCTTTTGAACTCAGAAATAGTCTCTATCTCACGTATAGCTAGAGGAATATGATTCCATTTGGAATGGGTCCTAAAATAAAAGTTCTTAGCAAAAGCGTTAGAGCTTGCTCGTGGTAAGATTGAGCTTACAAAACATAAGGGGTCCATGTGGCTATTTCTTAACCTTGAGTGGCCTTGAAATGGTTGCAAATATGAGGGTAAAGTGAGAGGTATATGTTGCTTCACAATTTTAAAGAAGAAAATAAGGTCAAGAAAGTCGAAGCGGTCTTCTATGGGCATAATCTTAAGCTGTCTGCATTTTTGAATGTATGTGGATGGTGGATAACTCATAAACTCCTCGTGAAGAATCCACTTAATAGCACGCTTTTGGAGGCCCTCCAGCTTGCTTATCTGGGATTTTGTGACCGGTCTCCATATATAACTGAGCAATGCTCAAATTGGATTCTCATTAAAGTGAGATACAGTACTCTACGACGATTTACATCTTTATTACACACAATTATTTAAGACTGACTAATTCTGCAGGTGAAAGTACTGAAGTTCATCAAGCCATTAGATTTGGACGATGTTGTTCTGGGACAGTATGTTGGTAACCCTGACGGTAAAACAGAGGATTCCAAGCTTGGTATGTACCTGAGTACACAGATCAAGCTCTGTTACTGCTTTTCTCGAGACATTTATTTTATTCAACTATTCAATTCCATCCATTAAGCTAATTAAATTCTTTACGATTAGTTCAGAAAAGGGGCTGATCAAAACATTCCGTATATGATTGAGCAGAATGGAAACAGGAGTCGTAAGAGAATCAGAATAGAAGAAATTATTAAAGTCTGTAATTTCACATTCACCTAAACAGATTTCCCTAATTTTCCTTTTCGCTGCAGGTTACCGAGATGATCCAGGTGTTCCTAACGACTCCAAGACGGCTACCTACGCCTGCGCTAAGTTGCAGATAGATAACGACAGATGGGCGGGCGTTCCTTTCATCATGAAATGCGGTAAATTGATAAATTACTTCTCTTACTAACTCTTTCTTTGTTATAGGAATTAGATGTTATAATAAACTCCTTCTTCTTTAATAGTGGTCACTAGTGGGGACGGAGGATGAGGTGGTTACTGTGTGTCGTATGCGCATTATAACATTTCCGTCACGTTTTTAGCCCTGATTGACTACTCTACATGTTGTAATTAGTTATTCTATCCGGCAAATAACACGTGTATCCCAGGTAAAGCAATGAACGAGAGGAAGGCGGAGATAAGAATTCAGTTCAGGGACACTCCCAGTGATATATTCGGGGGGAACTGTCAGAGGAACGAGCTTGTTATTAGGGTTCAGCCAAATGAGGTTAACTATTTTATGTTTCCAGCAATATAGTCGTTATCGTGTTATCTATAATAATTAATATAATTTCAAAATCTATGATCAGTATTCCAATTCTCAAATTCCTACAGGCAGTCTACTGTAAGATGAACGTCAAGTCCCCGGGCATGACATTTGCGGCGGAGGAGTCTGAGTTGAACCTGACCTATCACGAGAGATTCGAGGATATAGACCTCCCTGATGCTTACGAGCGGCTCATCCTCGACTTTATCCTGGGAACCCAAACTAACTTCGTCAGAACGTGGGTTACTTTTTGTTGTTTTGTTGTGCACGTGTATTGTGTATTGTGCAGTGTAAGCATTACATATGTTAAGTCTAAAGCTAACCCAAGCATTGATCCCGATTTAACCTTTACCCTTTCCTCTTTCCTAAACCTAACATTTAAATGTTATAAGGAGTACTGTGATCCTAAATAACGTCTTATATTTTCAGTGACGAGTTAGCTGAGGCGTGGCGTATCTTCACTCCCCTTCTCCACAAACTGGACGCAGGAGCCAAGTGCCCGGTGGACTATCCCTACGGTAGTCGTGGAGTAGCTGCAGCTGATGAGTTCATCAGGGCCAGTGGCTTCAAGTTCTCCGGCACTTACAAGTGGAAAGCAGAGAAGAAGTAATGGGTTTCTGGTATTTGAACTCTCCTGTGCGCGCACTCCGGCACGTGTGGGGTTCTGGAGTCTGAGGATTCTGGGGTTCAGACTCTTGAATCTTGACTCTGGGGATTGAGCCTAGATTCCAAGTGCGGTAGTAATTCAAAGTCTGGGCTCAGGAATCTGGAGTGGGAGTAGTGTAATGTTATGGTGGTTTTAGATGTTTGGTGAAACCTTTAAGCCTACGTTTGTTGAACCATGATGTATAGGAACAATAGAATTAGATCAAGAGTTGGAATGTTTGTTAACTTAGTAGTATGTGGAATGTTGATTTTATTTGTAAAGTTTTACTCTATGAGTTTAGATAACTTTGATATTATAAAATATTTATACTCTTCATTGATGCAGTTTTTTTCTGCTACCTAAAACTTGTTAGACGAATATAGAAATCTGATTTTGAACAAAATGTTATCCAATCTGACCCAGTTGGATGGCGATTGAAGGGCCATGATAATTGATCTCATAAACTTGATCAATCAATATTTAACATTGTTATTGTTATTAGTTTATTTTACCACTTTGACGATTATGTTTTTAAATTCAATAGATTTATTTGACTTATTTCATGTATTGGAACAGGATATTTTAGGAATTGTATCATAAGTTAGAGTTAGGGACACCAAGCCTTTTAAGAAATTTAAATGTTTATTTGGTGTTATGATTATGATGTAAATGTAATACCTATAAATATGATAATATTTGAACAAATTCCAAGAATAATTTGTCATCATTACTACAACAATTAGGTTTGATGAAATTTGCCATCGCAATTATAATATAACTAGCTATTCACAAACGGACACATACTGGAGAGAAACCTTATTCGTGCAGTTTTTGTGATTACAAATCAAGTACATCGAGCAGTCTTGCTATTCACAAACTGTCACACACCGTAGAGAGCTACCTCGCCACTGTACTGTCTGCGACTTTAAAACGAGGTCAGCTGGAATTTTGAAAAAGCAAATTATGTTGACTCATAATAGTTAATTTATTGATAGGAATTATCATTAAAAGCATGTTTGATAGATTTAAGATAGAGTTGTTGAACGAACACTATGCGAAAAGTCGATTATTCGTTATATGAGTAATAATATTTAAAAGTTGGACTTCTCTATTTCATTTTATTGGGTGGTATGGTTGTCTTACTTATCACGATATTTTCGTATTATACCGATACTGTGAGATTTAGTAAAATAGGATAATTTAGACACATTCAAATTTAAATTGATATTTTTAGCATGATTAATTGCAAGATCTACGTTAAGATTTGATTAAACATGATTTATAAAATAACAGATCATATTAATAAAACCGTATTAAATCAGTAATGGCTCCCAGAGCTCGAATTAATCCAGTTTATCAATTTTTAATTAGTATATTTTTCTATACCATGTCGGCAAACTTTTGGTCGGCTAGAATATTATGAGCGCTATAACGACTACGTTCTTACCCATAGTTTTCGTTGTTAAAAGTTTATTACGGATCAGTGTAGACGAGTAAACTTGATTTCCCGTTAATTGCTAAATAAAATTTGTTTGCGATTGAATGTTCAGTATTTCTGATGATTGAGTCGTTACAGATTATAATACTATAGTTTTATTGTTCCAATGTGCATTGTGCATAATACATTATTTCATCAAGTGTCGTTCAGGCATCACAACAGTAATTAATAGTAATACTAATAGCTTCACATTCCTTTCGAGCTGCAAAAATATTTGTTATTGTGCTTGCTAAAAACGTAAACAACATTCATTTGAAACTTTCAATCAGCAATGTCAGTTCAAAAAACAGAAACGTTTGAGGAGGTTGATATCAAAGAGGAGATGACAGACGACCAGCAAGTTAGCACTACTTCAACCTGGTTATCATCAGTATGCACTTGTAAATTTGAGAAGGATGCCGAAAATAACAATCTGAAGGCTAAACTTGAAGGAGGACCGGCTGATCAGGATGAATTTAATTCAGAACACCTAAAAAACCAAGTTGCAAACGGTAAGTACGTTGTAAAAATGGAAGATGTCAATATTTTCTGTGGTGCCCTGACTAATACTGAACCTTTGGACTGCAAAGAATTTCAGTGTGATAATTGCAATCTTCCGCTCACTCCATCGAACACAAGGCCTGTTACAGGAAAGTCCTCTTCTGTTCCTGTACATACCGAGCCTGATCGTGGCAATGTGTGTGACACTATTGGAGAAGCCAGTACTCCGTCCGTTAAAAAGTCTGCCAAGCTTGCTAACAAACGGCAGAAATGTGAAATGTGTGACTACATGACTAATACTACTGCAATGTTGAAAAGACACAAACGGACACACACTGGAGAGAAACCATATTCATGCGGTTTGTGTGATTTTAAATCGAAGAGATCGAGTGATCTTGCTAGACACAAACGGACACACACTGGAGAGAGACCTTATTCTTGCAGTTTGTGTGATTACAAATCAAGTACATCGAGCGATCTTGCAACTCACAAACGGACACACACAGGAGAAAAACCATATTCATGCAGTTTGTGTGATTTTAAATCGAATCAATCGAGCCATCTTGCAACTCACAAACTGTCACACACCGGAGAGAAACCTCACCACTGTACTGTCTGCGACTATAAAACGAGGACAGCTGGAAATTTGAAAAAGCATATGTTGACACATAATAGGCAGTATAGCTGTGAATATTGTGACTGTAATCCTAGGTCAAAGGACGCTTTGTTAAAACATATAAGATCGAGGCATATTCTACCTCACCTAAACAAAGGTCATAATCATTAATACAATTAAATCCAAAGAAATGTCTGGAATGGGCCATATATGATAGAACTTTGTTGGTTAATTTATTGATAGGAATTATTATTAAAAGCATGTAACTGATAGATTTAAGATAGAGTTGTTGATCGAACACTTTTCGAATAGTCGACTATTCGTTATATGAGTAATAATATTTAAAAGTAGGACTTCTTTATTTCATCAAATTAGGTGGTATGGTTGTCTTACTTATGATGATATTTTCGTATTATACCGATACCGTGAGATTTAGTAGAATATGATAATTTAGATACATTCAGATTTAAATTGATATTTTTGGCATTAATTGCAAAATTTACATTAAGATTTGATTGAACTGGATTTATAAAATAAATTATCGTATAAATAAAACAGTATTAAATCAGTAATGGCTACCAGAGCTCGAACTAATCCAGTTTATCAATTTTTAATTAGTATATTTTTCTATTCCATATCGGCAAACTTTTGGTCGGCTAGAATATTATGAGCGCTATAACGACTACGTTCTTACCCATAGTTTTCGTTGTTAAAAGTTTATTACGGATCAGTGTAGACGAGTAAACTTGATTTCCCGTTAATTGCTAAATAAAATTTGTTTGCGATTGAATGTTCACTATTTTTGATGATTGAGTTGTTACAGATTGTAATACTATAGTTTTATTGTTTCAATGTGCATTGTGCATAATACATTATTTCATCAAGTGTCGTTCAGGCATCACAACAGTAATTAATAGTAATACTAATAGCTTCACATTCCTTTCGAGCTGCAAAAATATTTGTTATTGTGCTTGCTAAAAACGTAAACAACATTCATTTGAAACTTTCAATCAGCAATGTCAGTTCAAAAAACAGAAAAGTTTGAGGAGGTTGATATCAAAGAGGAGATGACAGACGACCAGCAAGTTAGCACTATTTCAACCTGGTTATCATCAGTATGCACTTGTAAATGTGGGAAGGATGCCGAAAATAACAATCTGAAGGCTGAACTTGAAGGAGTACCGGCTGATCAGGATGAATTTAATTCAGAACACCTAAAAAACCAAGTTGCAAACGGTAACGTTGTAAAAATGGAAGATGTCAATATTTTCTGTGGTGCCCTGACTAATGCTGAACCTTTGGACTGCAAAGAATTTCAGTGTGATAATTGCAATCTTCCGCTCACTCCATCGAACACAAGGCCTGTTACAGGAAAGTCCTCTTCTGTTCCTGTACATACCGAGCCTGATCGTGGCAATGTGTGTGACACTATTGGAGAAGCCACTCCGTCCGCTAAAAAGTCTGCCAAGCTTGCTAACAAACGGCAGAAATGTGAAATGTGTGACTACATGACTAATACTACTGCAATGTTGAAAAGACACAAACGGACACACACTGGAGAGAAACCATATTCATGCAGTTTGTGTGATTTTGAATCAAAGAGATCGAGCCATCTTGCTAGACACAAACGGACACACACAGGAGAAAAACCATATGCATGCAGTTTGTGTGATTTTAAATCGAGTCAATCGAGCAATCTTGCTACTCACAAACGGACACATACTGGAGAAAAACCATATTCATGCAGTTTGTGTGATTTTAAATCAAAGAGATCGAGCCATCTTGCTACTCACAAACGGACACATACTGGAGAAAAACCATATTCATGCAGTTTGTGTGATTTTAAATCGAATCAATCGAGCAATCTTGCTAGACACAAACTGTCACACACCGGAGAGAGACCTCACCACTGTACTGTCTGCGACTGTAAAACGAGGACAGCTGGAAATTTGAAAAAGCATATGTTGACTCATAGAAGGCAGTATAGCTGTGAATATTGTGACTGTAATCCTAGGTCAAAGGACGCTTTGTTAAAACATATAAGATCGAGGCATATTCTACCTCACCTAAACAAAGGTCATAATCATTAATACAATTAAATCCAAAGAAATGTCTGGAATGGGCCATATATGATAGAACTTTGTTGGTTAATTTATTGATAGGAATTATTATTAAAAGCATGTAAATGATAGATTTAAGATAGAGTTGTTGATCGAACACTTTACGAATAGTCGACTATTTTTTATCAATAAACTTTCAAATTGTTACACAAATACATCATTTTATTTCAAAGAAAATATCGCCGAATGACCTTACATGCCTTGACAAGTGACCGAGTGTAAACAAAATTAGGGACACCGAAACACCATTTGACCAGTAAACTGGTCATAGCAATTACATCGGGCCCTATATGCACCTATAAGTGAAGCGATGCTGCAACCAAGGCATGCTAGGTTTATTCCATTGAACTAATAAGGTTACAGCCAAAAATATAAATATGATAAATAACAATGTACGGGTATTTGCCTCACAGAATGGCCAAAAAAAAGGAAGGTCTCTCAAAGTCACAAAACACACTTTATTCCAGTTTTTATCTCATAAGAAGCTAAGTTGACACTCATATTTTTCTTCCCGGGGGTTCATTTAATCTCATAACCATTTTTTCTTTGAGAAAAATTGGCCGGAAAATCTTCCTCGAAAAAAACATGCCTCACAGAATGGCCAAATCTGAATTTCTATAATTTTGTTGATGGAGATACTTTTTAAATTTCTATCACCACACGTTCTTAGAAAACCTATTAAGGAATGGGGTAATAACCTAAAACTCACGAAAAAAACTGAGCTGTGAAAAATTATTTCACAAAAAAAGAAAAAATGCCTGACAAAATGGCAAAAAAAAAAGAAAACGAGAAAATTTTATTTTTCTAAAACCTTTGGCTCTTGTTTCAGGCATGCTGCTGGTATTAATATGCCTTGTTAACACCCCCATATAGGTAAAATTTCTTAGAACTGAATAAAAAGGGCATAATTTCCTACACCAAAAATGGCCATTTTGTGTGGCGTTGTTCATATTCCCTGATTTCATGATTTATAACCTTCATTCGGAGCTGTAAAAACACTCCATCTGGGGTGTTATTGTATAATAAATAGCTTGTGAATACTTTAGACTTATGGTTTCATTGAATAAAAGGAGTTTTAAATTTTGGCCATTTTGTGAGGCATGTTTTGGCCATTTTGTGAGGCGTTTAGCCATTTTAACATTTTGTTTCTTCCTAAATTGAACAATGTTCGTTTTGTTTGATGAATACTATTCTTTAAACATCTTCTGTCATACTGGTGCCAGAAGTTCTCACCAAAATGCAAACTTAGTTCAAAAATTTGAAAACAGATTTTGTGAGGCATATTTTGGCCATTTTGTGAGGCGTGTAGCCATTTTAGCATTTTTTTCTTCCTATATTGAACAATGTTCGTTTTTTTTGATGAATACTATTCTTTGAACATCTTCTGTCATACTGGTGCCAGAAGTTCTCACCAAAATGTAAACTTAGTTCAAAAATTTGAAAACAAATTTTTCAGTGCTCAAAATTTCTACATAAACAGTCATATTTATGCCAGAAAATGTGGTCCTAGTTAATGATTTCACCACAGGAAGTGTTGCCAGAAGACTTTTGTTTCATATGGTATCCACAAAACCTACCAGTCTTTTATAAAAAATTAGTTACAAAAACATTTACAAATTTGGCCATTCTGTGAGGCTAGCCATTCTGTGAGGCATTTACCCGTACCATGAATCATAATTATAAACACACTTTATTGAACATATTTTATTAATTATACTTTTTATCAATTTATATTTAGATAATATAGTTACATTAAAGATAACGAAAACTTTCAAATTATCAAAATATATAATATCGTGATCTATAACAAGAGATTATAATTACTGATTAAGGATTTGCAGCATTTGTACGGGGTTGTAAAGTACAAAAAGATAAATTCGTGAGATTAATGTCGGGAATGCGCACAGATCTTTAATCGGTAAAATGACAGTGAAATTGTACTAAGGTGTTTAGTAATAGTATTGTAAAACTGCTCGAGGTTATTCATAATTCGTCTTGATAGTAAAGTATTGTTTCGTTATTGTTATCAAAGCTTGTGTGTCTGATCATCGTGAAAGTTTAGGTAAATTGTTTAACTGTCAGAAGATGTTATATGGTCGTTTAGAACTGTCCAGAGGTACTTTAATAAATGGGTTTTAAACACAGATGGTCGTGAGATTTCTCTTAATTCATAAGGGAGTTTATTCCAAAGAATGTGTGCTCTGTAAAAGTAAGACTTGGATATGCCTGAACATCTGGTCTGGCTTGACGTAAGGTTTTGTGGAACTTGAGGAGAAATATCACTAATCATACTGAGATCGTCTAGATGTGATCGCCTTAACCTACTTCCCATGAAACGTCGTAAGTAAGGTGGAAATGTCACAACTGACATGTCATAAAAAATATTATGAAAATATAATATATCATTGTAATCAACCCTTACCGAGATAAGAGTGGAAGGATATTTAGTTCCTTACACGCTATGAAATACCTTTTTTTGTCCCTGAGGCTTAATGAGTAAATATCATTAAGCAATTCGTTATATGAGTAATAGTATTTAAAAGTAGGACTTCTTTATTTCATCAAATTGGGTGTTATGGTTGTCTTACTTATCACGATATTCTCGAATTATACCGATACTGTGAGATTTAGTAAAATAGGATAATTTAGATACATTCAGATTTAAATTGATATTTTTGGCATTAATTGCAAAATTTACATTAAGATTTGATTAAACTGGATTTATAAAATAAATTATCGTATAAATAGAACAGTATTAAATCAGTAATGGCTACCAGAGCTCGACTTCATCAAATGTATCGATTTTAAAACTACTTTTCTATACCATATCGGCAAACTTTTGGTCGGCTGAATATTATTTTTGATGATTGAGTCGTTACAGATTATATAATACTACTAGAAAGCCCGTGGTAACAGGAACGAAGCTAGTAGTATTCTTGGAAAGAAAGTTTTAATGATCGCATCAAAAAATATCCACCCCAACCGAAGATACAGCCGATTTAAATATAAAACACTTTAAACACAACGTAATTACCACAAAACCGATCAAAATGACGTTAAAACAATCTTGGCACGTGCATGTGTGCATTAAAACACCGTTGCTATGGAACGTTTTGGTTGTTACCTAAATTCCTATTTTTCATTTAATTTGCACGTGGGCGGTCGTACAGTGTACAGTGTACAGAAAGAATTCTCTGAATTATAAGTAAGAAGAAGTGTCCAAATGTAACTTCGTGATGAGGTTAATCCCATCGATAGTTTTATAAATTAAGCACCCTGTTATTATGAATGATTAATTATGCAGGCGTCAGCAAACGAACCCAATTAGGCAGGAAAGCGTAAACACCACCCTAATGCGCCCTGATCGGAATCAGATATCATATTCTGTATCCGCCGCAACACAAGATAGCTGAGATCACTATATTTTGCCTCTTTTGATGAACTATGAAAATCAAACTTCTTGGAATGCATCAGTCCTGTAATTGAATAGAACTAGACAACGTGCGATGAGGTGGCCGGCCCGTCCCCCTGCATCACAAGCACGCCTGCCCACGTGCAATTAGTTCTCTGCGCGTCACGTGACAGTCACGTGCCAGCTCCTTGAGCTACTATGGGTTAGTGCTCCGTCACGTGATACCGCGACCTCTGTGTGGTTGGTCGGGGAGGTGAATTTAATTAAATGTAACGAGTTAGAGAAAGTAACATGTATCTTTTTATTACAATTGTAGCGTCTAGTCATAGTAAGTGATCTGGAATTGAATATAATCGCTTTTTGATATCCCGGCTGTCGTGTCGGTTGCTTACCAATAAATATAACAACAACCACACTCAGAATCAGCTTCATTTAAAACCTTCGTTGGAGATTTAGAGTGCATCACAATAATCCAGCGTGTTCTTCCAAAAACAGTATATAATTGAATTTGAATAAATATTCGTTTAAAACGATCAATTATGCACTATTCAGGGGCAGGTAAAAGTCACTAAAAGTCAAGCATCCAGCATGCTTAACCAACAGATACAAGATGATCTAAAGCTGTGCAGTAGTATTAACACCCGGTTTAAACCGAAACGTGAGGAGACTGGAATTTGATAAAAAGGAGGAGGAGGTGTGTGGAATCTCGTAAGTTTCAATTATAGTTTTTAAAGCAAAAGTTTGTGTTTAAATCGGTTTGTGGTTATTAACGCATCATCTGTGATCTGTCAAACGAATAAAAAGGTCCAAGCCATGTGTCCTACATTTAAACCTTTTTCATAAGCTCAAAGGAGTGCAATGAAATGCGCTTTGATACGCAAGTTAGCCTAGCATGAGTTCAATTCTAATTAAATGCACTGACGAGCGTTGAAATAATGAACCTGTACTTGACTCCGTGTTTTAAATCATATTGTGCTTAACTGCTCTTGTATTATGGATCATGGTAAGATAGTTTTGATAGTTTTGATTGGTTACTTGCTGATTATTCGTGGATCAGTATTACTTGGTAAGATATATGATTAACATGTTAAGTAGCTACTTCTGGGAGTTTCTTATCACGTATTTAGTTTAAGGGTCGCATCGAGACCGACTATCCAATCTTGTCTCTTGTATTGCCACGACGAAAAAGCAGTATTGAACATCTTTATACCTCATGATTTCACTTATTTAACCAACTCGCTAGTTTGCCACTTTATAGAGCGTTTAAGCTTTGACGTAAAGATAAGATATTAATATTAATAAGTTGTTATTACTGAGACTCATTTACATTGCACTCCTTTGAGTGGTTCCAGTGCCGCTACCAAACATTCGACTTGATTAAAGAGCTCTTTAGAAGATTGACAGACTCAATTTTATATGGTAAATATTGAAATATTTCGTCGTAGAGCCAGTCTTTCACCAGAAGCTAATTCGAATAGGTTTTTTAGATGCTTCAGTTCAGATAGATGAATGATGATACTGAGTAAAAAGTGCCATATTTAGTCAGTTATCGACAGATATGCCTACCTAAACACAAGGAAATTTTTTCAAAAGTAAAGTTTCGAAATCGTTGAAATTACCTCCTTATTAATGAAGTTATGAGTTTACACTTCGACAGAGGAATTTAATTCTCCTTTTGAATCAATCAAGCTAGATGATTTGTTGTAAATACTGAGATCAAACTATCAATTTACAGGCTATCGTCAAACATGTTGCAAGCTAAGATGGTAAGTACGTACGGTACAGGGCTTTAAGTACGTACGGTACAGCTACTTTTAAAGGTACGTACCGTACAGGCCCTATAGGGTACAGACTTTTTTGGGAAAAAAATGAAACTTTTTCAAAGTTAGTGGAGTACTTGCAATGTTCCTTTAGTATTATCATAATTTTATTTGAGGTAGTAGTCGAAGAGGAACATGAATTATTAAGATAGTAAATTAACAGTGAATGGACAGTGACAGATAAAATCAGTATCACATTTTAATGTGCTTATTGGAGTATATAAACACTAGTTTTTCAGCAAGCTGAGGCTTCAGCCTCAGCCTTCTTTTATTCATATAAAGTTTGTTTCACACATTAATGAGGATGCGCTAAAAATCGCGTAAACAACATCTGCCAACTTTTTCAACCAACATTATTCAAAGCGCCAAATCCAATGTAACATGGCCCAACCCTTCTTGCTTCTGGAACATTTTTGTACAACTGCTCTAAATCTAATGGTATAAATTGAAATGCAGCGATGAGCGAATTCAGCTTCCATGAAAGTTGTCGTGTGAACGTGGTTTTTGTGCATCTTTTTGCAATTGCAAGCATTGTACCTTTCAGCCCAAGTTTAAAAGTACGTACCGTACAGCTATTTTTAAAGGTACGTACCGTACGTACTTGCCATCTTAGGTTGCAAGGCGTCATCTTCAGTGACATAAGCCTACAAATTGTAAAAAGTTAGTAAACCCAAAATTCCTTTAAAAATCTGAACACTCTTAAAACGGTTATATAATTAAAATTAAAATGTTAGGGATAAGGGAAGGCCAAAAAGATTTATAGTGTTTATTCCCAAAGGTTTTAAAGTCTTGAGTTGTTGAATATATTTATGTTCACGAACTTCTAAAGTTTTAGGACTATAATTATCAATAATTGACACATTAAAAATTTTGTTAAAATTCTCCCTTTGACCTTTGTCTAAAACCATGATCCAACAAATGTAAGCCCAAACTATATTCATCACTTGTTTCATCTACCTTATCACCATTTAAAAGTTTATAATATTTGACTCTATGTTCTCCAGTCCTAACCCGTAGAGAGCGAGTAGTGCGACCGACGTAAGCCTTTCCACAGAAACTACATCGGAACAGTTAAATGATGTTGTAACTCAGGCAGTTTCCAGGGGAAGCTTTAACCTTCTTGCCGTTCACTTTGAATTCATGGCTGCCTTTGACAAGTTCGCAGCATTTGCATCTTGGCATATGGCATTTGCTGGTTGGACCATGTTTAGCTCCTAAAGCAAGTTCTTTCAATTTGACGAGGCGAGATTTTAGGCTTGGCCCTGTTTTCTTGGTGTAACTGAATATTTTCTTCCTAGGCGCGGAAGGTGTTGAGGAGGTCTCTTGGGATGTTTCAACAGTGTCACTTTCACTGAAACTCCTTGTTCTTTAGAGGTGTTCTTCATACTTCTTAGTCACAGACACCAGATCATCATCACTACCATAAGTAGATATGACCCTGATTGGAAGGTGTAAAGATGTCTGGTCCTCAGGAGTCTGAACTTTGCGTAACAGTGATCTTGTTGAATTGAGAACCTTATTACTAATATTCTCAACCATTTTCCTTACACTTCGACTTATTATTATCCTGACATGATAATCAAAAAGAGATGATATTTGACCAAAACCCATAATCATGGGTAGAGTGGACCGCAACAGTGTCTCTCTCTCTCTCTCCCAAACAAAAGGAAGTAATATCAATTTGAATAACCGTCCGCAAATGCATATTGATACCGAGAATGAAATCCTACCAATTGTAATAAAGTTAAAATTTCTCTGGGTTGCTTTCGGGTCGATACCTAGTATTTCGGGAGGCCGACGGCCAGGCCCCCTCATTACTAGGGGACCCAGGGAGATCAGATCATATCACTAATTAGTGACGTATAATTAGTGATGTGATCCATCAGTAGGATTTAACTGACCTAGAAATGGGCTAGAGTTCACATGTACATCATAGCAGTTCATTAAGAAGTAAACATGATCTTTAAGATTTGAGAATACTGAATACTGAATACTGAATACTGAATACTGAATACTGAATACTGAATACTGAATACTGAATACTGAATACTGAATACTGAATACTGAATACTGAATACTGAATACATCAATTATAGTTTTCTAAACAGTTATACCAGTTGGCAAACAATTTATCTGCAAAATAAATCTTCTTAAAATTTTTCTGGATGTTCTTTTGAACAGCTTGACAGAGGTGGAAGAAGCAATTGCTAACATCCCACCCTGGCAAACTCTTCAAAAAAGCATTTGGAGAAGGTAGGCATGTTGATAAGGCATCATGTAGCCTCCAGGCTCGACAAACCCCGACAAACCCCGACAAACCCCGACAGACGGCTACATGAGGCCTTCTTGTGTAGTGTTTTTCCACGTAAAGCTTGATGACTCCGTATCGGCTTTTTGTTGGGAGACTCAAAAAAAAAGAAAAAAAAAAGCCTCCAGGCTCGACAAACCCCGACAAACCCCGACACAGCCGACAAACCCTGACAAACCCCGACAAACCCCGACAAACCCCGACGAACCCTGACAAACCCCGACAAACCCCGACGTGTCGAGATATGTCGTATCATGTCCGGCCCACCGGCTACATGATGCCTTTGATAGAATGTGATACTATTATAAATATCTCCGGGATTTCGACGCGGGATCATATTATCACTCAGCCCGGCCCGCTGTTAGATAAACATCTCAAGCTGATATCATCCCGCCCCGGAAATTTGTATAAACCCGGCCCGCTTTTTAGTCGTAACTGATGTTTATCATTCAATTCTCCGACTTACAATAATCAATGATACTGCTGATTAGAACTCGATAATAGTAGAACAGTTAGACGCGCGATCACGTGAGCGCGTCACGTGCGTACCACGTGCCACCAATAGCATACGCCGAGTCTATACCACGTGACACGAAAGCGCACCACGTGATATGAAACATCGTAACCGTCCACTGCTTTTACACGCAAATTCCTGGGAACGTTGCCAAAGCAGCTAATTCTTGGAATTTCTCCAACGCGTGGCGTGAGAAGTTGGCGACTAGCCAGCTACCCTTGTCCGTGCCCTAAAAATAGTATTGTTTTGCTTGCTCTCCTTCCAGCTCTTGTTCCTGCTAACGTTCAAGCTATTGCTCCACTATGACAGATCGGTAAGTATAAATCCCTTGTCGAAATCGCCGGAGATAATTATAATCCATAAACACTTCACGCTCAGGGCTAAATAAATGTAATCCCTCAGCTGGCGCTTCGGGATTACATATTAACACAAAACTTGTGCGCTGCGCGCACTCGTATGTGTTTATCAGATCATCCCGCTAGCGCGGGATGATCTGTTATATAAACCCTTTGCGTGGCGGGTTTATGTTATTGTCTATCATCTTCCCGTATATATACCTAAGAACACTTGATCGGCTCACTCCCGTTGCATGCCTTTGGCACGTACGTATCACATCCCTAGATAGGGTAGAGTTCACATGTTCTGTAAATCGTAGTTGGTGGATCACATCACTAATTATACGTCACATCACTAATTATACGTCATATGATCTGACCCCTAATAATAGAGGGGGCCTGGAAGTCGTGCAGCCAGTATTTCGGGATAAGGGTGGTAGTTAGTGTCCAATTAGCTGTTGTTTATTCATTAATCTTTATTGCCGAGTACAGTTGCCTTCGGGTAGTTCTTCTTAATTAATCTATTACAATTGTAAATGAATGGGAAAAGCGAGCGACCTATTTCATTATCGGTATCAATTTGCATTTGCGGACGGTTATTCAAATTAATATCATTTCCTTTTGTTTGGAAGATAGAAAGAGAGACACTGTTGCGGTCCACTCGACTACCCGTGATCTAAGATGGTAAGTACGTACGGTACAGGGCTTTAAGTACGTACGGTACAGCTACTTTTAAAGGTACGTACCGTACAGGCCCTATAGGGTACAGACTTTTTTGGGAAAAAAATGAAACTTTTTCAAAGTTAGTGGAGTACTTGCAATGTTCCTTTAGTATTATCATAATTTTATTTGAGGTAGTAGTCGAAGAGGAACATGAATTATTAAGATAGTAAATTAACAGTGAATGGACAGTGACAGATAAAATCAGTATCACATTTTAATGTGCTTATTGGAGTATATAAACACTAGTTTTTCAGCAAGCTGAGGCTTCAGCCTCAGCCTTCTTTTATTCATATAAAGTTTGTTTCACACATTAATGAGGATGCGCTAAAAATCGCGTAAACAACATCTGCCAACTTTTTCAACCAACATTATTCAAAGCGCCAAATCCAATGTAACATGGCCCAACCCTTCTTGCTTCTGGAACATTTTTGTACAACTGCTCTAAATCTAATGGTATAAATTGAAATGCAGCGATGAGCGAATTCAGCTTCCATGAAAGTTGTCGTGTGAACGTGGTTTTTGTGCATCTTTTTGCAATTGCAAGCATTGTACCTTTCAGCCCAAGTTTAAAAGTACGTACCGTACAGCTATTTTTAAAGGTACGTACCGTACGTACTTGCCATCTTAGCCCGTGATTATGGGTTTTGGTCAAATATTAATTGGTAATTTATTGATATTCAGCATGATATATACTACTTGGTACCCTGCCAAAATGCAGTTCTTTGCCAGTTTGTATCAGCGAAAAAACGGTATGATTCCTGCATTTGCTCTGTCGCTGAGTTCGATCGTAGAATTTAATGAGCTTGAGTCGTGGAATTAGAGTTTTAGAACTATGCTGCTTGTATATGGTAAACTGACTGTAGCACTCTTGTGATCCATGAATGGAGACAGCATCATCATACTTTGTCATATGAATTGCTCCTTCATAAATAATGTTATGTCGTTGTAGTCTACTGGAATAGACGATTAAATATTGTTACAGTTTAGATAGTCTACCAGAAGATCAATTGCAAGGAAAAATTGCCCAACATGACTCATGCACAATATTACCTGGGACCCCTGGCTATAATGTTCATAAACATAGAGATTCGGCGGAATGACAGGCTGAGCTCCGCCCAGTAACCACAATAAAATAACGACAATGTTCACACATGAATATTGTGTATTTTCAATTTCCAATCGTAAAATTGGAGTGCTGTGACTACAGCTGAATCCGGGAAAAGTTCGTACAATCACGACAATACGAATTTGTCATCAAAATTATGCAGGCACTCTTTGTATTTCGTTTAGTTTTCTGATAGAACATACCTTATTAATCGCAATATTTGTGCGGGGAACTGCTCCGCACATCCGACCTTCACGTGCGTACAAATGCACGTGTGCGCAAGGAAATGCACGTGCGTACAAGGAAATGAAACTCTTATCTTGAAAGGATATTGTTTGCCTTGTCGGACATATTGTGTTATTAGCAGTTCTAATAGTAATCTAGATTAAGTAATCAGTTTTATCAGATACCCATCCTCGTGAACGTCCCATTAGCTTACTACAGTAAAACCCCGATTTACCGCGGAGTTTGGGGGAAAGGAAACAGCCGCGATAAATCAGGGTTTGCGGTAAATCGGGGTTTTACTGTACTACTAGCTATAGGCATAGCGGATGTTGCCTTTTGGCCCTTTTGTAGCAATAGGGGAGTTAAAGTGAGAACTCCGACCCACAAAACAATGAATCTCGTAATATCAACTTAAGCTAGAAAAACTCTCAGTCCTGTCAACTTTTCGAACAAATATTCCATATCCAATCCCCTGGAGTAATAAATATTAGAACAGGAATTAAAGATATATTTGTCAAGAAGTGTCCCGTCTTGACGCCTTTGGGATCGGAGTCCTGCAGTCTCATATCTTACTGACCGCAGTTCTCTTGCACTTCTTAACCACAGGTATGCTACTCAACGCAGATCCTTACCATACTGATTACATCTTACAACCAGAGTACCACAACAGATCCTTACCATATCAGAGTACCTTAGATAGTATACTCTATAGTTACAACTTTATACCCTTCACCATTCGAACCCTGCTTTAATGTTTAATGTTTTATAGGCTCCATAATGTGATTTTATTGGCTAAGTTTTCCGGTATAGTACAAGTAGTATCCTATCTGCTTGACATTCCTGCAGATAACAATACCATTAGATTGTTAGGCTCGGTTATAGGAAACCGTTAGAAATGGAACCTGCTAACCATTCTCCAGATAGCTTACCAGTTACCGTGCTGTGCTTCCAACTGTGTAACCACTGCTATTTTAGTTTTATTTGTTAGTTTTAACTCGACTCTGCCTC